TCATAGTTGCTGTTGTAAAGCATGGACTGATTTGAGTCTCTTCCTCCAGGCCTACAGGAAGAAGAATCAGAAGAAAGTTGCTCAGTATCGCAGCAGCGTCAGTGACGATGGAGATCAAGACAGCACGACATCTCTGGCCAATGGGAATGAAGACATGCCGACAGGAACAGGAAGCAAGTACCAGCAGAAGAAAGCCAAGAAACAGGCCAAGAAACAAGCCAAGGTAAATTTCAAATATATACCTCAATCATGACAACTCTCGGAATGGCCTAAGCGTGTTATTGAATAGGGCAATGTTAATGTATTTGGTTTCGGCAGATTAGAAATATAAACTTGCTACTGCCAATAAATACACAGACATGCTTCTGTGAGCATGTAAGATATGCTGATATAATCCCATAGCAGATCTAAACAGGGCGAGGTGGAGGCTTTCAGAGGAACTCTGTTAGCGCCACACAGGACTAGCTTACAGCAAACAATGATCCAGACTATGTTGAGCAAGCAATCTCATTGGCTGCAGGGTCAGCAGAGCTCAGTCAGCTTGTGCCATGTGTTAATCATGTGATAGATCGCATGTAAGGGATCAGCCTGCGCCCTCTAGATTTTCATATATACTGTATATATAATGTGTTTTTTTCTCCCCCTACATGTTTTCCACATATCATGTTCCATTGACTTATCTTAGTATCAAGTAGAAAACCGACATTTTTGGCTTTTGTATCCATAGAATCAGAGACGCCAGCAGAAACTGGGCAGTAAAGTCCCTCTGGAACCTCTGTCCAATCAGAGCACAGCTAGCAGCGCCGATCACAGTGTGGCGGAAAATGGCAGTGCTGATGTGGAACCAGTTAAAAACAGCCAGGAGGATTTGATCCTTGAGAAACCTTCCGCACAATCACTAAATGAGGATGAGGAACCCGAGCAAGAACGTGCTACCGCTGGCACGAACCGCTTCACTGCCTTATCCGAAGACCAGACCTCTGAAGATGTCTCTGTAGAAGGAGACAAAGTGGACGAGGTGAATGAGGACAGTGCTGAAGAGGATCAGTTAGTCGAAGAGCTGAATATTATGTCACTAAACACAGCTTCAGAAGGTGAAGTGGAGAATGGAGATGATGCCTCAGTTGACGTTAAAGAATACACTGTGGTGAATCAGGACCCTGAGCTCGCCTTTCACGCACTGACCAGCAGGGAGGCGCCAGAGAAGAAGGAGTGTTCGGTGGAGTCCTGCTTGTATCAGTTCACTGAGGTGGAACATCTCACAGAGAACAACAGACTGATGTGTTTTACCTGCACAAAACGCCAGCCTGGACATAAAGCCTCGGACGGTACTGTGTTTACATTTTACAATATTTTCTATGTTTTTTTACGCTGAATCCCTTAAGCCTAGTTCACACTACATGATTTTAAAACTACATGACTTGACTTGAGAGATTGGCATGGGGTACTTTCCATAAGATCAATGCAAATCAAACCAGGTATTAGGCTAACTGAAGTAAAACCATGCCAATCTCAAGGTGTGGTGAATGGGGTGTGATGATGTGGGGATATTTTAATTCCAAAGGTCAAATGAACTTTATCAGGAGGCATATTATCCTGGATCCATGAAATAACTGGCATTTAAAAATAAAAATCTGCCTGACTCTATGGGAATTTGACATAGGGGTGTCCTGACTTATGCACCCTGTATTTTAAGGAAAAACATTTATTTATTTATTTATGAGACATTATTCATTCACAAAGAAAATTGGTGTCCTTAAAAGGTTTGATTTTTCCAAATCTCATATAGATTAGGAGTATTCATAGATGGATAGATAGATCATAAATAAGTATTTTTTTTTTAGTTATTGGACACAAAACAAGCTCAATTGTGACAGCAATGTTTCTGAACTGATTTGTGTCATGATTCAGGTGTTAAGAAAGCTGTTTACAGAGATGCACTGAAGCAGATGCTGATCTCTCATCCTCCAGCAGTGCTCACACTTCACCTGAAGAGATTCCAGCAGGTAAAACACCTGGTTCCCCCTGTCCCAGACCTCACCACACTGATGCACTCTCCATTTAGACCCTTGTCCTGTCATTTGTTCGCCTGTAGGTTGGATACAGTGTTTGTAAGGTGAACAGACATGTGCAGTTTCCTCAGATCCTGGATCTTGCTCCTTTCTGCTCTTTAAACTGCAAGGTGAGCAAATGATGCTCGATTAATTGAGAATCAAGATTTTGTGTGTGTGTGTGTGTGTTTAAAATAGAGATGGTTCTCCTACGATTCTGAATGGACAACTAAATTCAGTTTGAACGAATGATTCAATTATTCACTCATAAAGATGTTTACTAGATAATGAATCCAGTTTTTAATCTCTTGAATGAAGGATTCAGTGGCAAATACATTTTTAACAGTCATCACTGGTGCTACAAATACTTGGAATCAAACTACAGTTACTTTTCTATTGATTGCATGATTACAAATTATTCTCACAATATCAGTGAATTATTCATAATTCAGTAATTTATTTATTTTTTTCCCTGTTCTTTAAAAAGTCTACTGCCTCAGAAGGTCTTCCAGACTTATGTAATCGGTCACCAGTGTTGTGCCTGAACGAGTTCATGAACTCGTTTGTATTTTGGCTGAAGGTGAACTGAACGTACTGTATTACTGCCTGATAAATGTTACTGTGAACACGTTCATTCTGGTGTCTGTTTAACTGCTTTCAATAGGGAGCTAGATTTCTATAGAGCGTTCCAGGCGAAAACCAAGGCTAATACACACGTAAACAGGCGTCAATATGTAGTGAAAAAACACCCAATCTTGCAACACACTAGTGTCGCACCGCCGCACAAGCACATTTCTGTGCAAGCTTTTCCCGCCGATAAAATAACTGCTGTAGTGGTTGTATATGGGTTGTGGCAATAACTAAAAAAAAAAACAGCTCGCAGCTACATATGGAGAAAAAAAAAAAGAACTATGAACAACTGTGGCTTTACTTTTTTTTAAAAGCTTTTTACTTTTTTTTTTTAAAGTAAAAAGCTTTACTTTTTTTTTTTTTTTTTCACTTGTGAAAGTGAAGCTTTCACAAGTGAAAGTGAAAGCTTCACTTTTTGAATCGTTGTGCTTTAGGAATGAGATTGTGTGGGTGATTGAATCAAGATTGTGATCTTTCATGCTCCTATATAAGCAGTGCATCAAACTCTGTCTGTGTTTTTAGGGTGTGAAGGAGGGAGAAACACGAGTGCTTTATAGTCTTTATGGCATAGTGGAGCACAGCGGCACCATGCGGTCGGGACACTACACGGCCTACGTCAAATCACGACCCTCCACGCACAATTACATAGAAAACGGGTCGGCTGCTGGTTGTGAGTATCAGCGCTCTTGAGTTTGTGATTTCAATGAGCTATATATATATATTAGGGCTGTACAACCAAATAATTGTGATTAATCGCATCCAAAATAAAAGTTTGTTCATAATATACAGTATGTGTGTGAACTGTGTATAATTATTTTGTATATCTAAATACACACACACACATGTATATATTTAAGAAATATTTGCTTATATATACTGTATATTTTTTCTGTATATATTTTTCTTAAATATATACATGTATGTGTGTCTATTTATATATACAAAATAATTATACACAGTTCACACACATTATGTAAACACAAACTTTTATTTTGGATGTGATTAATTGCAATTAATCAGTTCACAGCCCTTATATATATATATATGTGTGTATATATGTGAACACGCAGTCATGTTGGAGACTGAAAATAAAAAGCATCGCATGCGTTTAGCTGGAAACCAAGTGACATTATTATTATTTTCCAATCATCCTCTTGTCGCAGGTAACGCTGAGGCCAGTAAAGGTTCATGGTTTCACATCAGCGACAGCAGCGTCCATCCCGTTCCTGAGGCCAAAGTGCAGAGTTCCCAAGCCTACCTCCTGTTCTACGAGAAGATCTCATAACCCACGGGAGGACTGAGCTTCAAAACAAAGGGCTGGTGGTGATTCTCTCCGAATGTGCTGGGAAATCTGGTTAAAACACAATGCAAATGGATTGAAAACTTTGAATCAAAGTTGTTTGTATGAGCATCTTCTTTTATGGTTTTTTTTCTCTTTCTCTACATTATCAGCTGCTGTTCAGGGGGAAGTTTTCATTCATGCAAAACATGATGCAAAACTTACTTGTGATCATTTCTGTTTTTTTAATTGAAGTTAATTATGCTCAGTGGGGATTGGAAAGTTATGAAATGTTTTTCTAACCTCTCGATCATGGTTTGATGAGGCTTGGAAGTGGTCATTTGCCTCATACAGCATTTCTCAAAGTATCTGAGTGTCGCTGCCAAGAGAAATAGTCATTTTCAGTGAATCTCGTGAAAGTCATACTTCACCCTAAAACCACAGGTTTATATAGTAGGGGTAGTAATGAGAATTGTGGGGATATGTACTTAAATGGCAGGGTTATATATACATATATATAAAGTAAATATCCCTACAATTCTCATTCATTTTATTTAAAGATTTTTTTTTCATTACAAGTCTAATTTTTAATGATGGAATGCACTTAATAATCATGGACACATTTTTAAAATTTAGTCGGAAAATTTAATTCAGTACATTCAAATAATATGATGTAAGCAATACATCTGTACTTAACATAAATAAATAATGGTCTTAGAAATAAGTTTCATTTTCTTATTATAATAATAAATAGATTTTTTTGGGATGGAAAAAAAAAATATTACCAAGTCATGACTTTACAGCATGAGATTCATACCATTTTGTAAAACAGAAATATATATTGGTTCAGCAATAGCCTATATATTGGTACGATTTTATATTACATTAAATGCCTTCCTGCCCTCTAATATAATGGCATGAGTCAACTTCAACATGAAATGTCAATATATGAACTGATTCTGAAGACTTGGTTTTCAGATTTGTTTTATTTAATTTTTCCAACAATAAAACAACCTCAGAGCACTCAAGCTCAAAATAAATGACTACAAATAAAATGTTCTTGTTTGTTTGTTTGTTTTCTAACAATTTAAGAAGCTAAAATATACAAATAAAATAAAATGGACAATTTTATCTTCTGACAGTTCAAAACGAGGGTCGAAGCGTCTTTTGAAACCTATGCTTGAAACCTACCAACAAGAGAAGTTCACAGACACGAAGTTATTGGGCGGCACTACTAGCTTATACTAGTTTCTGTTCATAAAGTACTTCCTCGAGGGGGCGCGTGACGGCTCGAGAACAATATCAGTCTTTTTGTCTGCTTAAAATGATTAAATTTTCAGTCTAATAAATAAAGGTTTGGCTTCTGGAGTACATTTTAAAATTCTGAAGTAGCAGTCGCTCAAAATCATTGAACAAAACGCCCGTGTCCTTACTGTGATTGTAAAGAAACCACGTGACATAGTACGAGCCATAATTTACACCTGAATAATGACTGTATAAAGCCAATAAACTTGAAAACACCCATTGAAGAGTAGAAATTGAACTATAATTGGTCAAATCAGTTGTTATGCAAATTATTGAGAACTTCCGGGCCACCACCTAATCAGCTGCTTGTTTATCATATAGAGATTTAATGTCTATGGTTTACCACTCTAGTTTTCTGTGTTTTCTCACTATGGCGCGAGTTTAGAACTGAGCTCGAGAGGGAGCGGTCTCCACGGCAACTATCAAAGCCGGAAGTGCCGGGCTCTCTAAAGGTAAGCAACAATAACAGATACAAACAAATGAAATAAATGAAATACTCCGCATTAAGTTAATAAAGGAACAGTTTACAGTTGACAAATTATTTAATTTAAGTAGCTAGTAGATATTTTCTTGATAAGATTTGCCGATGTCACTTAACGGCGGTGCATGTTTGTGCGTTTGCACTGATTTAAATCCCATAAATGTCATTATATTTTTTGAGAAGGTCTTGTTAGCTAATTAAAGACATTTACATTAAATTATATCATGGAAATTTACATGGTGACATTAAACAATTCTATATGTCTGTCTATCTCTCTTGCCTACATCTATCTATCTATCTATCTATCTATCTATCTATCTATCTATCTATCTATCTATCTATCTATCTATCTATCTATCTATCTATCTATCTATCTATCCATCTATCCATCTATCCATCTATCCAGTAATGTCCAGGCCGGTGATCAGTCCCCTGACTGTGGGGGCCACGGTCCCTGAGTCTCTCTCCATGTTACAAAGGCGTCTTCAGAAAGCAGAGGAGCAGACGGAGGAGTTGAGGAGGAGTCTAGGCTCTTTGGGAGCGTCTGCAGATCAGCTGCTCATGAACTCTTCCAACTCTAAGCCACGTCCGGTCAGTCCTGTGAACATCCACGGGGCCCTGAGTGCCACCGCAGAGGGTTTGCTATGGAGGCAGAGTGAAACGCTCGTCGCACGCATGTGCAGATTAGAAAGTGTTTTGCACACTCTGAAACTCACCATCTTTCGTCTGGAGATGAACAGGGAACTCAATCCATCTCACACAGGTCAGCTCGTACACACACACACACACACACACACACACACTGATGACCAAAAAAAGCTACTGTCTGGATTTAAATGGGCAAATGCTTAAGAGTCTATAATTGGATCATTATTGCATTGATTATGATGTTATATGTTTGGCAACAGTTCTTCTAACTCTAACTGTTGTTTGTAGCTTTCATTTCTTAAACAACCATGTAGGAAAACGCATCATGGCCAAATTCTAGGATGACAATGTTAAGATTCATCAGGCTCCGATTGTGTAATAATGGTTGGATTTACCATATGAATAGGTTTCGATATCAACTTTTTCACACACCAGCCTATTTGGCTACTGAATTGTTTAACTACTGGCCATTCAGAACTTTGACACTCTCTCTCAAACAGAAACTTTTTGGGGTGCCCGGCTACACACACACACACACACACACACACAATGCTGGTAACTGATTACATGTAACCTGGTTTATGTAATTAGATTCCAAAAATCTAACCAGCCACTAGTCATGTGACTATCATTGAAAACCAAGACCTATCCACAAGTTTCCGAGGGGCGCTCCTGTAAAAAATAAAGTGGGTGAAACTTCCGGTGAGGCGGCGAAAGTAGCATTCCAGTGGTATTTTGTGTGTTAGTTAGCGAAGAGGCTAGCTGTTTTTCTGAGAATTATTTTACTATTTAAAGACGCAAATCTTTATGAGCGATGTCGTTACGGAGCTCAGGGACAACATGTGCTGTTCGCGGTTGTACGTATAACCGGACTAAACTAATTCAATGGCTTAAACGTGATTGTTTTGAACATAAGCTGAAAACGAAATCAGAGTGATCCTGCCAACGACTGTAACGTTAGTTTCCATCAGCTCCCAAAAGACAACGAATCTTCCTGTGTACATTAGTTTGAATTCTTAATATTCTATAAACTCTCTCAGCATGTGATTGGCTGTTCGCTACTGATGTTGCACCTAAACTCAGGATCAAAGCCTGTGTTGACAGAATACCAAATGTGCCAGTTAATGTATTCAAGCAGCACATTCATTTATAATTTTGAATAAACTCCAAAGCACAATGACTAAGTGTGTATTTTTTATTTTAATTGTTTGTCAGCTCGCACAACTGTCTGTCACCATGCCTTGATGAGTATTGATAATTAATAATGTTATTATACTCCCAATCAACTACTGCGGAGGGTAAAAGTACTGTTATTTCACCCTTTTGAATTCCGTTGAGGTTGTGTTCCCACATCGTTAGCTAGTTTGGATCGCTATAACTTGAATGACTGTCAACTGTTGAATGAACGAGTGTCAAGCATGTCAAATCGCGCTTTGTTTACTTCCAACCGGAAGTCGCGCCCACTTTTGACGCAAGGCCTCATGGGGCGTAGGAAACTTGTGGATAGCATTTGATCACTGGATTTATGGAAATCATTTCACTTTTACAGAGTGATTTCTCAACATTGCAATATCAAATCAACTCTTGCTTAACACATTCATTATTATTTGCATCATCACTCAGTGAGTTATTTAACTGTGTAACCATCCAGCAATAGTCTATGGGATCATTTAAAACCTGAATTTGTGTGAGGCAGCAATCCGGTAAGAGTGAGTGAGTGTGTGTGTGTGTGTGTGATTTTTGCACTTGTTTTGTCTGCATTATTCCGTGGGCCCTGCAGGAGACGAGTTTGTAATCTCCCCTCTGTGTGTAGCTCTATTATCCGAGCTGCAGGAGCAGCACGAGGAGGAGCAGCGCTCTTCACACCGGGACCTTCTGCATGTACAGGACGAGCTGACGCGGGCCTGTGAGGAGAGGCAGGAGGCACAGCGGGAGGTGCTCAGACTCAGAGAGGCGCTGGAGAATACCAACTCCACTAAAGTAAAATAGCTATGAGCTTATTCATTAATTAAGGCAGGGTAGGCAGTTTGTTTCTAAAACACTTTTTTCCCAAATTTGTTTAAACTGTCTTTATATACCATTATATATCTAAAATGTACCATTACATGTCTAAAATGGAAGTACTCTGAAAAGGAGAGTGTAAAAATAGATAAAAATCAGAACGAATGCAATGATTGGCTGGGCGACTGTCACTCTCGCTCGCTACCATGGCTACACACGTTCATGTGTTCTGGGGGGCGTGGCTTTGGAAGGAGCCCAGAAGGGAGGGGGTGGGAGTTTCTCTGTTGGATACTTTCAAAATCCAGCAGTTTTCTGCTAGATTCTCAAACTTACCTACCCTGCTTTAAGGTTGTATTAGCGATTTCAGGCCGCTTATTTAAAAAAAAGATTGATAAATATACTTGGAGAAACTACAGTAGTCAACATTTGAAGTGGATCAAAACCTTTCATCAAAGTTATACATGAATTGTGAACAATACCTGTTCTTGTCTTAGGATAGCTTTAAATAACTTTTTTGATCCACTTCAAATGTTAACTACTGTTGAATATCTCATTACACCACCAAGAAATGCCCAGAGCTACTATAGCAACACCTTAGCAACCACCCACAACACCCTGGATGCGTTCTATAGTCATAAAACGCCCAATTTAATCTTTCTATTCACTATTTGCTGGTGTCTTGTCAGGTAGAGGTTCTTCAAGGAGATTGCCAAATCTTACGTACTGACGGACAGGCAAACAGGGCGGAGCTAAAGAAGAGGGAGGAGCAAATCATGTACCTGGAGAGAGAGTGTCAGCAGCTGCGAGACCATTCCAGTCAGAAACACTGAATTATGGGACATTTAATCTTGGTTCATGCTACTGTAACGTGAAATTTAAATGTTTTGTTTCCTTTCAGGAGTGAAAGAGACTCTGATTTCACAGCTGAGCAAAGAGATCAAGGTACGAGCATGTGTGTGTGTGTGTGAGACACTGATAGCATAGCAGTAATGACATCTCATGATGTCTGTGTGTGTTTAGAGCGTGAAGACGGCTCTGCAGAAGCAGCAGCAGGACAACAGCAGACTCTTCAGAGATGGACAAGACCTCAGAGCAGCTGCGGATCAAGTGCAGGTACACATACACACAAACAAACACACAATCTGTTTAGCATTACATAATTATGTTAGCGCCACAAAGCCAACATACTGTCATTGTACAAATATGGATTAGAGCTATGGTGATGTCCCTAGTTGAAATTAGAAAAAGTTTTGTCCGCCCCCTCCTCCCATAATCTGAATATATTTAACATATTGTATTATGTATTAGAATATTAATAAAGGGTAAAAAAACCTATTTTCTGTGGTTTGCTGAGCTTTTTAATTTTTGTTGACGGAAACAAAAGACGAACAATTGAAACTAAATAGATTATTTCTTTTGTCCATTCTAGACCATTCTGTAGTTAGACCATTCTGTGTTAAAAAATGTACATCCAACGTTTAAATTATTTATATACTATATATTATGACATTAATATATGGGAAAATACTGAGCTACAATATTAGCATTTTTAATTGAAAAATTGCTGACAAACAACAATAACAAACCCCTATCTTTTTCACTGTTTTGTTTGAATAATGAAGTTACACACTTTATTGGGGACAAAAAACTGAATTAACTTTTATGTGAAGCAGCTTACATTCTGTTTACATTCTTACATTTTATTTGTTCGTTTGTTTGTTTACTCTTTGTGTTTCAAAAAATGTACATAGAACGTTTCAATTATTAAAGTGACAGTGTTGGGGAAAGTTACTTTTAAATGTGATGCATTACAATATTGCGTTACTCACTAAAAGTAACTTATTGCATTACTTTTTTTGGAAAGTAATACGTTATTTTACTTTTGCATTACTTTTTCTCACTTTAGCTGTTCTTGCTTGTTTTTCTCATAACAAAAAAAACCCAAAAGTTATATTTTTGGCAAATGTAATGGAACTTTCACATCAAAAGTGAAATGAATAATCCTCAGGCTGAAGGAAATGTAAACTGACTCCTGTACAGTAGAGGGCGCAACTCAAAAAAACTCTCAGCTGCTGCTGTTCTGGATCACAGTTCAACACTCATAAAAATTAAAGCTACTTTGTGTGATTTTTACCCCCATCTACTGGTGAAAAGGTATATGACCATCCAGGGAATATTAGTTTCTGTTCCTCTCAATTCCAATTTCGTTTTAACTCCTACGGTGGCCAATGTAGTCCAAGATTAACATGGCTTCCAGTTCGAGTTCGACCTCGTCCATGAGTGTTAACTCAAACGTAAAAGCGAAAGGCGAAGCTTGAATTAACGGGTGTGTCCCTCTTTGGCTAATGTACTTTCAAGATGGAGGGGCAACATGGCGACTGACATTAGAACCCCTTACCCGTATGTATTTTCAATGGCGTATTATACACTCACGAGAATACTTTATTACTTGAACGAAGTAAATATAATATACATTAATGAGCACATATATTTTTTGAAAGAACTAAGTGTTTTTAGCTAAGAATAAACTAAAAGAGTTACACACTGTACCTTTAAAGTCATTTTTGCTCATTTGTATGGTTCAATTGGATCATTGAATGTCTGCAGCAAAGACAATGGTTCAAAAAGTGAGATTAAATACATACATTAAGTTAATTATTTTACGATTAATTACATTTAATTATTTTACAATGCCTCTGCACTTACTTACGATTTCTCTCAACATGAGGACAGGAGAGCTGTCTGTCAATACATGGGAAAACTTTCAAATGAATTAGTTACTTTACTAGTTACTTGAAAAAAGTAATCTGATTACAAATAAATCCGTTACTTGTAATGCGTTACACCCAACACTGAATAGTGATACTATGTTATAGTAGCAATATGAAAGGAATAACTCACCTAAAATAAAAATCCTTTAATTAAAACCATATGACTTGATCATCTGTGAAGGATGAGAGCCAGTCCGGCTAAAAAAAAACACATAAAAAGTACCATATATTAGTGTGTGTATGATTTATTAGCTATATTCTATAATCTTCTGAAGTTATATGAATAATGTGTGTGGAAAACCGACTGAAAAGTAGGTTTATATACTTTTATTCAGCTTTGTTTAGCCAACAACATTGTTTTTATTGATGAACTTTCCTGTTCTGGTGTAAAAAAATGTTTGTGCATGTTATGGATAAAGGTTAAAAGTCATCCTCTTTCTTTCTCTCAGGTGTTGAATGATAAGTTAGAGGTTCAGTGTTCAGAGCTGAGCACTGCACTTCACTCATTAACACTGGAAAACACTCGACTACAGACAGAGTATCAGAACAACGTCAAGGTATTTCAGTTCAGTTCCCAGTTTTACTGTCACTGGCATCAAAAATAATTGGACATTCTATTGCCGGTTGGTTTTCATCTTAGCTGTGAAGTGCGAATAACTGAATTAGTGCATTAATAAGTGCAAAATAAGTTATATTTAAGCAGTAGAATAACATTAGTTCAGTTTATACTCATTAAGAAGGGTCAATATGGCAGTAATGGAGATTATATTTCTCTCTCACACACACACACACACACTGTTTGTTCAGGTGGAGCGAGATCGTGTGTCTAAACACCTTAAGGAGCAGGATCTGCTTTTAGAAACAGCCAGGAGGAACATCCAGGCTGAACTACAGGGCGCGATATCAGAGAAACTCATCCTGCAGAAAGAACTGTGAGTTACACACACATTCAAACTGGTGGATATCGACCCACTGCAGGGAAAAGACGAACAATTCCTCTATATTTTGTTGTTGACGTCAAAAAGCTGTATACCATGTTTTGGCTGAAATTCATCTTCGATTTAGTCAGATTAGGCAGATGGCAACATGAAAACCATGAACAAAATACGACTGTAAGCTGTAAGCTCTTGTATTTTGTCTGCAAGCGAGGCACTGAAGACGGATCACTCCGAGCTGCAGCAGAGTTCCACTGTTTCCCAGGTGACAGCTGTCAGTCATCAGCAGATGTTGGAACGCACCATTCAGAGGCTTCGGGGGGAGCTCAGCTGTGCTGGGAGAGAGGGAGAGACCCTTAGAGAAGAGAGGGATCGCATGAAGAGTCAAGTGAGTCGAATGGTTGTTATTTTTTGTTGGTGTCATTTCTCAAGCTAAAGGGAAAGGACACAAGCACTGATGTCTAAATGGGTATTAATTAAACTGATGGTGCTGGCACTAAATTATAGTTGGATGATGCACATTTGAAGCTATAAAAACAACAATAATTATGATTGTTATTATTATTTTTTATTATTATTGTCATAAATATCACAATTATCAGTATTATTTATATTATTATTGGTGGCGGTTGTATTAGTAGTAGTAGTATATAGGGGTGTCACGATTTCGATATTAAATCGAAATCGATCGAAATTAATTCAATGGTATCAAAATCGAAATAAAAAATGGTATCGTCGATACTGCCACGCCCCATGTCGCGTCCGTGATGGAAAGTTCGGATCGTTTTACTGACTCTATTGTTCAATCTTGTTCATCAAAATTAACTAAACTTTTTTTCTAGTCATTTCAGGGGCTTTAAATGTTATACTATTAAGTTATGTTACTTGTTTTTGTTATATTTTAAATTTGGCAATGGTGTAGTGTACATTGTGAACAAATTTATATTGCATAATGCATAAATGTGTAGTCTAAAAATTGCATAGCAATCTGCGCTTTACATTTTTTTTTTTAAATCGAGAATCGAATCGAATCGTGACCTTAGAATCGATAACTTAATCGAATCGAGGATTTGGAGAATCGTGACACCCCTAGTAGTATATTATATTGCTATTGATATTGTATTAATTATAATTATTGTTACTATTATTTAATATTATTTAGGGCTGTCAAACGATTAATCGCGATTAATCGCATCTAAAATAAAAGTTTGTGTTTACATAATATTTTATATATATAGATACACACACATGCTTGTATATATTTAAGAAATATTTTCATGTATATACTGTATATAGATTTATGTATAATTTATATTATATATAAATATAAATATTTTATATATAAATAATATTTTTTTCTTAAATATACATGCATGTGTTTGTATTTATATATATATATATATATATATATATATAATTATACACAGTGCACCCACATATATTATGGAAACACAAACTTTTATTTTGGATGTGATTAATCACGATTAATCGTTTGATGGCCCTATTATTATTACTATTAATACTATTATTGGTGGTGGTGGTAGTAGTACTAATATATTGTTATTAATATTGTATTAATTTTAGTAATATTGTTATTAATTGTATTAAATAAAAGAGTATTGGTATTATTAATTATATATTATTAATAAATATAACAACAAAAAACAATAATATTAATAAATTAATAATAATACTTTTATTAATTATACTTGATCAAATATATAATATATATACAAATATATATATATACTGTATATATATATATACACACACACATTAGTAATGTATCCTTATTATTAATTTGATCATCAATGTTTAATAGTTAACCATAATAATTATAATACATAATGTAATTTGCACACAGTATATACAAATAATAATAATTATTGTTATTAATACTTTTAATTATTCAAATCTGCAATAAACCAATGTGGATGTGCATTATTTCTGTTATGATTTTGTTCCACATTATGTTAACAACAGCCCTTAACCTTTGAAAAAACTGTAGCACAACCAATTAATGAACTCTTAAATTCCAAATCTCAGATGAACTCTGCAATCTTTTCCCTGAAAAAAGAGAAGAACATTCTAGAAACACAGCTGTCGGAGATCAAGGTACTGCTGACCAAATGTGAGGTCACTTACTTCCAGTCTTTCGTTTTACTCTTTGTTTGCTGGATATAAAATAGAGCTCATTTCACCGACTCTACCAATCAGGGTAATATTGCACCGGCTATTACCATAAACATCCTCTTCTCCCCTGTGATGGACAGGCGGAGCTGACCACGAGGAACTCAGCACTGCAGAAACAGAAGGAGGAGAACCAGGAGCTAATGGAGAGCCTGGCAGTCATGCAGCATCAGCAGGTTTGAGATCAAAAGATCACAGAGACAGACGCACGTAAAAAAAAATATGCTTGTAACACTGTTTCTCTCCCAGGTAAATCACCGTCAGGTAGAACAGATGTTGTGGGACTTGACAGACAGCAAGAACAAACTGGCCTACGAGAAGGGCAAGTCGCAGGTCTGTGAGACACACGGATTTATTGCACATATTTGGCACAGTGTGACACAATGATGCTCAAACAATCAAATGATGAACACACACATGCTTCTATAGACCATTTCACAAGATGTAAACAACACTGGTCCAGAAGCACTTCCTGTTTCAGTTTTTTAACACTACATAAAAGCTGGGATAAAATACAACCAACAGAACATTTAAAACTGAATCAAAAAGTTAAACAAACATCTTTAAGATGTTTTCTTTACATGTGAAATAAAGAAAACAGTTACAAACTGAAACAGGAAGTGCTTCTGGACCAGTGTTGTTTACATCTTGTGAAATGGTCTATAGCAGAAGCACACCAAACTTCTAATAGAGAGAGTGTGTGTATGTGTGTGTTTGTACAGGCACGAGTGCAGCAGATGGCCGCTGAACTGAAGGCATTGAAAGCAGACTGTAATGAACACTGTCAGGCTAACACTAAGCTGCAGTACAGTTACTCACAGGTAAACACAAACACTCGTCTGCCTAACAAACCACTGTCGAAAAAGCAGATAAACCCCATTATAATCAGTGATGCTGTCTACACTGGATACGGTGCGGCGCAATACGACAAAGCCCAGTTCTATTTGGGACGTAGTCCAAGCACTCGCGCTATTTCTGAGATGAAGAACATCTCTAAGACTGCTCAATTAATTAAAGGCTCATATACTGTACTTTATCCTCATCCAAAAAGACTAATATTTATAATATTATCTAAGCAGCAAACCTGCCTCATTTAAAAATCATCAAATACTGATTAACAGGTAACCATATGGTACTGTCCGCTAGTTTTTTTTAAAGCGCAACATAAGACAAAACACAGTTAGACGATACCATCAATGTAAAACGTATACAACAATGTAGGATTTACGTGTAATTATGTGATTTGTATATCTCTATTCTGTGTTCATATTCTTGAGTCACAATAAAGTAATAAAAGCAGGACGTTTCAGTGCTGATTGTTTTATGCATCTGTCACAATGAAATGAATGGCTTTGTAGAGGCTGTCATTGAAGGATGGAGCCTTTGAAAACTGCAAAATGGTGATATAAAACAATTATGGCTAAAATTACAAGTGGACTGCTGAATAACACACTCTCGTTCTCAGATGCAGATAGAAAATCAGACACTGAAAGAGCAGCTCGGTGCACTACTGCAACAGCACAGAGACACGGTGAGTCTCTCAAAGCAACGAGAATTGAAAGCAATATATTGCATTGACAAAAGATCACATTTTTATGACCGTGTGTGTGTGTAACAGAATGAAATAGCGCAGACTCTGGAGAACGTCCTGTCGTCTCACGCTCGTCTGCAGCAGAACACACAGACACTGCAGGCAGAGCTTAGAGAAAAAGCACAGGAACTACACACACTCAGGAGAGAGAGGTTTGTGTGTGAGACACCATAAGATGACACACATCTGATTGCAGGAAAGGGATAATATTTTATGTTGCGCTGGCCAATAATGGCAGCCATCTTGCACTTTGCAGCATCACATAAGGTTTCAGTTTTTGAACTTTACAGCTCAAATAACACGTTTTTGTGTGGAACAATTAATAAAGTGCTTTAAAATGTATTACTTTCTGGAAATGTCTTGTTGCATAGACTTCCATGTTCATTTTTGATGAATTTGTTTTGATGAGATTGTTCATTTTGGCTACTATTAATGTCACTTCACATTAGGATGTGTGTTATACTGTACTTAGAGATGCAACGATATAAATAATTCTGGCCGATACTGATAAGCAGATAATTAGTTCCATGTAATGGCCAATCATAAAGTTATACATTTTTTTTTTATCTAAATAAAAAAATAAACATTAAAGACTTAAATTTGTTTCTTAAATTAGGCAGCACAACATTAGTAAAACAGTAAAATAATTATTTTAAGATACACTTAATGACATTCAATTATTAGTGTTTTAAAGATGAACTTCAAATGGCTGTTCATTCAATATAAATATGTAAAATTCAATATAATATCAATGATAAATCAATATACTGTAATATATGTACAAATAGTTTAAAAGGGTATGCACAATTAAATGGCCAATACTGACTGATATAGAGGCAATGTCAACTAATCTCTAATATTGGTCAATAACTTACAAACCCGATTCCAAAAAAGTTGGGACACTGTGCAAATTGTGAGTAAAAAAAGAATGGAATAATTTAGAAATCTCATAAACTTATATTTTATTCACAATAGAATATAAATGACATATCAAATGTTGAAAGTGAGACATTTTGAATTGCCATGCCAAATATTGGCTCCTTTTGGATTTCATGAGAGCTACAAATTCCAAAAAAGTTGGGACAGGTAGCAATAAGAGGCCAGAAAAGTTAAATGTACATATAAGGAACTGCTGGAGGACCAATTTGCAACTTATTAGGTCAATTGGCAACATGATTGGGTATAAAAAGAGCCTCTCAGAGTGGCAGTATCTCTCAGAAGTCAAGATGGGCAGAGGATCACCAATTCCCCCAATGCTGAGGCAAAAAATAGTGGAGCAATATCATAAAGGAGTTTCTCAGAGAAAAATTGCAAAGAGTTTGAAGTTATCATCATCACATCAACAGTGCATAATATCATCCAAAGATTCAGAGAATCTGGAACAATCTCTGTGCGTAAGGGTCAAGGCCGGAAAACCATACTGAATGCCCGTGATCTTCGGGCCCTTAGACGGCACTGCATCACACACAGGAATGCTACTGTAATGGAAATCACAACATGGGCTCAAGAATACTTCCAGAAAACATTATCAGTGAACACAATCCACCGTGCCATTCACCGTTGCCGGCTAAAGCTCTATAGGTCAAAAAAGAAGCCATATCTAAACGGGAACCAGAAGCGCAGGCGTTTTCTCTGGGCCAAGGCTCATTTAAAGTGGATTCTAGCAAAGTGGAAAACTGTTCTGTGGTCAGACGAATCAAAATTTGAAGTTCTTTTTGGAAAACTGGGACGCCATGTCATCCGGACTAAAGAGGACAAGGACAACCCAAGTTGTTATCAGCGCTCAGTTCAGAAGCCTGCATCTCTGATGGTATGGGGTTGCATGAGTGCGTGTGGCATGGGCAGCTTACACATCTGGAAAGGCACCATCAATGCTGAAAGGTATATCCAAGTTCTAGAACAACATATGCTCCCATCCAGACATCGTCTCTTTCAGGGAAGACCTTGTATTTTCCAACAAGACAATGCCAAACCACATACTGCATCAATTACAACATGGCTGCGTAGAAGAAGGATCCAAGTAGTGAAATGGCCAGCCTGCAGTCCAGATCTTTCACCCATAGAAAACATTTGGCGCATCATAAAGAGGAAGATGCAACAAAGAAGACCTAAGACAGTTGAGCAGCTAGAAGCCTTTATTAGACAAGAATGGGACAACATTCCTATTCCTAAACTTGAGCAACTTGTCTCCTCAGTCCCCAGACGTTTGCAGACTGTTATTAAAAGAAGAGGGGATGCCACACAGTGGTAAAATTGGCCTTGTCCCAACTTTTTTGAGATGTTGATGCCATGAAATTTAAAATCAACTTATTTTTCCCTTAAAATTATGCATTTTCTCAGTTTAAACATTTGATCATCTATGTTGTATTCTAAATATAATATTGAAATTTGAAACTTCCACATCATTGCATTCTGTTTTTATTCACAATTTGTACAGTGTCCCAACTTTTATGGAATTCGGTTTGTATATAGTATAGATTTATCCTGCATCCCTAAAGTTTTGCATGGATTTGTGTTGTGATGTGTGATACCCACTATTTGTGTTTGGTTACAGACCCAGTTGTATTTTTCCTCCGTGTTTTCTTGAGTTCATCTTATACATAATTGCATCAGCAGGGAGGCGGAGCTTAAAGAGGCAAGGACAGAGATTGGTCGATTGACGGAATGTGTAGATTCCCTCAAGAACCGGCTCAACAGAGAAACAGACTCTAGGAGGAAGTTGGCACAGAGGGTAATATTATATATATTTTTTTTATTTGTATGTAGATTAGTTGTCTTGTGATGTAGTTTTCATCGTATAGCACTTTTAACTACTTACTTCACCAATAAGAATGACTCTTGACTGACTCCTGTTTTCTATATAGCTGAAGAAGGCACTAAATGATGCATCAGCAAAGTCAGGTGACCTCTCACAAGCCAATCAGAAGCTACAAGAGAAGGTGTCTGAGCTGGAGAAGCTGGTGTCTCAGTTGAATCAGTCTCTGCACAACAGAACAGTTCTGAGCCACTCTCTGAGAATCAAGGTGTGTCACTTTACCCATGGTTTACCTTTGTGTTGGATACAAGCTCTCTCACTGTAATACCAACACCCCAGAACATGCTTAAACACAGTTTATGGCATCATCTTGCTTCTCCCAACAGGATTTGGAAGCAGAAATTGAAAGTCTTGAAGAAGCTAAGGATGAATATAAGAAGAGGAGTTATGAGCAGGTGTGCATCCGAGCTGTTTCAAAAGTTTGCATTTTCAGGCCCCCAAAACCACCTTGTCGTATTTGAATGGCCAAAATGCATACTTTTTCCCCCCTTCTGTTTTTGGATGAAAATGAGTCGTGTAGACGGCCCTTCATCACTTAAATGTTCGTCTCCATGTCACAATGCACTTTTTTTGTTGCACTATGAATTATTGGTACGACTAACTTTATATTTGTATGATGCATTTCACTGTGTATTATGCTGAGCATAAATATTAACACAATATAATAATAAAATGTAATTAAAAATTAAAAATAAATTTTGCTACAATATATTTAGAGTGATTTTGAATCTAATACTTTTTTTAAATCGTGTTATACATAATTAGTATGAGTATTCCTAGTTGTCATGAAAAAAAAAACATTTATGTATAATGCATAATAATAGGACTCAATTGACTCTAACCGTAATTATTATAGCCCGACCGATAAAGGATTTTGAAGGCCGATACCGATACAAATATTTTTGGGTTTTGAAATCCGATATTCCGATATATCGGCCGATATTTTATTTATTTATTTATTTTTTGTCATGCTTATTTGAGTTTAGAGAACTGATGGGGATGTTCTTTTAATTGTTATTCAAGCAATGTATGTATCGTGACCAACTCAACGAGTGTTGCCAACAGGAACGGTGTAGAGTGCCCTCTGGTGGACAAACTATACAACTCCAACACTCATGACATGGTTCAAGCGTGTTTCGTCCGCTTTAATTTTATTTTCGAAATATTCATTTATCGGCCATTATAACTGCCGATACCGATAGTTTGGAAAATGCCTAATATCGGCCGATAATATCGGTCTGCCGATATATCGGTCTGGCTCTAGTAATTATCTTGATAGAGATTTATCTTTTAAGGCAGTCACTTTATTACATCAGCACTGCTTAAATATTTTAAAAAGTTTGCTTAATAGTTGAATTTCTAAATGCATCCCCTTTAAAGCACAGCTGCTAAAAAATATAACCTCACTTACTTACCAACATGGTGTACAACCAGTGAATGTCCTGACCCATCTTTACTAAAGAGGTCATGTCACAGTTTGTCATGTGTGTGTTTCAGTCTCAGTGTCTGCTGCAGATGCGCTCTGAGATGGAGTCTCTCCAGTCTGAGCTGCAGTATCTGTCCTCCACACAGCAGGGGGAGCTACAGGCCCAAAGAGCTCTCAATCACAGCCTACAGGAGCAATGTCAGGTCGGCACTCTCTTTTGCATCTCAACGCCCTGATTTACTCACAACGTTCTTTTTCGCTCCTCGGTTTGGGGTAAAAAGTAGTTTTACTTTTGTTTGATATAAGTTTGCGGACATCCAGATGCTGTTCATGCTGCTGAGAGCGACGTTTAGATGAATATGTAAATATGTGCTGAACACTTTCCTCTCAATAACAAAATAAACACAGCATAAACGACAGTGGTGTGAAAACGGGGACCTCGAGGGGATGAACAGAAAAAATTAATTTCCACGTCAAAGAAGGTGGAGCCTCTGTGCACACCTACCTAAAATTTGTCCCCTGGATAAATTTGGGGACATCATTTACGCATATGGAAGTGAGAGGTTTGGTGTGGAAAAAAAAGGAAGGAAAAAGTACAAGCTACTCCTGAAATGTTCTGCTCTTTTCCATTGCTTCCTCAGCTGTCTCCTTTCTCTGACTAACCCTTCAATTTTCTGCTGCCGTCTAGACAAAGTCAGAAGGAGGGACTCAGTCTCTTACAAGGGCCATAAAAGATAAGCTGGCAACATTAAGCAGAGCTGAGCGCCTACGGAAATGCTACAAAAAGAAAGAACGTGCGAGGGCTAATTTGTATAAAGACCCATTCAAATTCTTAAAGAAGTTATTCACCAGGGAGAAGAATGGCACTTTAGAAGCATTTAGGGTTGAGCTAGAGAGATATTTGGAGGAAATGCATAGATGCAAAAAGGCATGAGCCTATGTCAATTCCATCAGACATCCCACCTATCAATCCACCAGAATACCAAATGGAGGTCTGTGCACCTAAGTGGAAAGAGGTAAAGCAGGCTGTAAGAAAGGCAAGGGCTTCATCATCTCCAGGGCCGAATGGAGTTCCTACAGAGTGTACAAGAGTGCTGCAGGAGTTCTGCGAATTCTGTGGAAATTGATAAAAGTGGAAGGGAAAAAACAGGTTGTGCCTAGAGCATGGCGCAGAGCAGGTGGAGTCTTTATACCTAAAGAAAAATATGCTTCAAGCATCAGTCAGTTATTGCACAATTAAATGTTGATGGTAAGATTTTCTTCAGCATTATTGACCAGAGATTGTCCACCTACCTATTAAAGAATGGCTTCATTGACACTTCAATTCAAAAAGCGGGCATTCCAGGGTTCTCAGGATGCTTAGAACATTACAATGTTATCTGGCAACAGTTTCTGAAAAGCCAGTGAAGAGTCTTGGGAGATGGTACGATGTGGATCTTAAGGACACAGTTCGAGTGGGAGAAGTTTGACAACAAACAGTAGAAGGGTTGAAGAGCATAAACAGCTGTGCTCTACCAGGCAAACTAAAACTCTGGTGCTTTCAGTTTGGTCTACTGCCGAGGTTGCTGTGGCCACTGACTGTGTACGAGGTTTCTTTGACAACAGTGGATAAGCTGGAAGCGTTAATAAGTTCATACGTCAGGAAATGGTTGGGAGTTTCACGCTGCCTCAGCAGAGCGGGACTGTATGGTAAAGGAATATTGCAGCTGCCAGTCTCCGAAGAGTTTAAGTGCACCAAGGTCAGACTGGAAATTACCTTAGTAGAGTCATGCGACAAATGTGTAAGGGAGGCAGCCCCTGTGTTAAAAACTGGTAGAAAGTGGTCAGCAAAGAAATCTGTGGTAGAGGCAAAGGCTTCCCTTCAAATTGGTGATATCGTGGGACAGGTACAGCATGGAAGAGGGGGTTTTGGGCTGGTAGTCAACAAGTGGAAAAAGCAGGAGGAGAGGATGAGGTGTATAAAGGCCATTTCCCAGGCAGGGAGAGTGGATGAGATGGGAGAGTGTGGTACAATGCAAAATGGGCTGGCAAGACCTTTGGTCAATGGAAGAGAGTAGGATCAGTTTCCTTATCAGGTCAACATATGATGTTCTCCCATCACCGCAGAACCTAAACCTCTGGGTAGGAGAGGATCCCTTTTGTCCTTTGTGTTCATCACCTGCCACATTAAGGCACATTTTGACAGGATGTAAGGTGGCTCTTAGCCAAGGCCGGTTTACTTGGCGCCATGAACAAGTACTGCGATGTTTGGCTTTAGCATTGGAAGGCAAGCGTTACATGACCAATAAGTTACCACCTGTTGTAGCAAAACAGTACACACAGAAGACAATGTTCCTCCACCCAGAAGAGCAACCACCAAGAAAAGGCGTTAACACCAATTCTCAACAAGGACAACTGGAAGCTGCTTGGGACTAGAAGATGCTGACAGATCTTGATCAACGGTGCCATCGGTGGATGCTGTAGATGAGGCATATGAGAGGAAGAAAGTGCGGTATGCTCATCTGGCCACTGAAGCAGAACAGCAAGGATTGAGATTCCAGGTTTATCTAGTGGAAGTGGGTGGTAGAGGATTTGTGGCACACTCTACAACCCGGTTCCTCTGAGAAGTTGGATTCAGTGGCCAAGAGTTGCGTCACACAGTAAAGAACTTATCTGAAGCAGCAGAAAGGAGCAGCAACTGGCTGTGGTGGTTGAGACGGAAAGATTCTAGCTGGCTGTGTACAGGCCGCCATGCTACGGTTTCGTAGAATTCTTGAAAAACACGAAGAGTCTGTTTAGTTTATTTGTATAGTTACGTTCCTGTGTATATTGCGTGAATGAGGGTCGGTTTTAGCAGGTGGGATGTAGAGGTCAGTAAGCTGGGCTGAGTTGAGTGGGGGACGGAGGGGGGTAACTCTGGGATGCCAGAGTCACTGTCGAGCCCTCTTGAGGTGTCGTGGGCTAGTCGACGAAACACTGAGGCGGAAGGTGCCCACTTGAAGACACTGAGATGTCCCCTACTCGGCTCAATCCAGACGGTTGTCGTGCTGGTCCACTGGGGAGACCGCACTGTAGTTGCATCCGTTGTGTGTGCTGACGCGCCAAGTACACTGCAGCCGTTAGCGCTAGACAGAAGGAGATTCACATCAAGCGTAAATGGATGGAGAAGCATAGTTTACTCTAAAGCAAAGTCTTAGTTTGTGCTTATTTTGGCGAAAGCCGATTACAAATCAGCATGAAGTTTTAACATCTACTCTCGTGTAATGGAAATCATTACATCATCGCCACTGACCAATGGTAGTTCAAAGGTGTTTACCAGCCAGAGCAAACGTATCCAGAAAGTTTGCTTTGGGAAGCTGTTTCTCACTCCCGAAACGAACACACAATGAACTTCGTTTGGGCCTGATTTTGTTCAGAATTGCGTCACACCAATTCGTTCTTTGATATCGCTTGTGGTGAAATCAAGCTTTTAATGTTGTTTATATGTCTATGTGGTATTTTTAATGTGCTTTAAGACAAACCATGTGTAAATTCATAAGTCAACACCATTGCTGAGTATTTTCTCCTTAAAACTTCAATGAACCAAAGACAGACTCAAAAATCGCTTGTGTTTCTGGTGTCATCAAACTACCTTCTAACCAATCAGGTCAACGTATGATGGTCAACGAGTCAAGGAGTGAAGCTCTGACCTGAGGCGGGGCTAATTTGCAAATTCATAGAATCGCGTTACTAAATGAGGCAAGGGTCTAGAGTTACATTCAAACTTTAAAAATCACAGGAAATAACGTTTAGATATGTCATTTTGGTGACCAAAGATGACTTCAGGTAGACTTTAATTATACCGGGGCCTTTAAGCATGTTGTATTGTCTCTTAGTCATCGTGGTCCATGTGATATTACTTCACGTGTTCACTTGGAGGATCCGGAGCCATAAATACTCTTTTCGTCTTTCATTTTTTTTGATCATTTTCTGTTTGCCTTTTGATTCTCTCTCCATGTCTCAGTTTTTGCTTCCTCTGTGCAGTCTCAGCAAAGCTACTGTTCCCTTCTTCTTCCTGTCTGTTACTCCCTTCAGGGCATCAATACTGCAAGACCAACAAAGTGCTGGAGAAATGCCAGTATGTAAATAAGTGATCAGGGGTTTGTTTTGTGCTGAATGGTGCTGTTAATGTGTTTGTGTACAGCACCTGGAAGAGAGTTCGAAACGGTTCAGGGACGAGAGGGATGAGGCAGAACTGAGACTCCGGGAAGTTTGTCTGGAGTCACAGCAGGTAATCGACCCATATTTTCATCCATTACATCAGCAGTAATAATAGGCACATATAATTTGACAAATAAACCAACTGAATCTGAATACTGTGGTGTCTCCAGTAAGGCTCATCTATCCCTTTTTTTCAAAGTCCTGAAATTGATGCTTAAAACCATGTCGTAATTTAGATTGCCGCTTCCTCCTCTAATCACAGCCAGTGTTGAAATCATGCGAGCTCTCCAGAGGATGGACATTTCTTTTGCCTTTGATTTGATTGCTCTGTTTCTATCCCACTTCTCTCTCTGTTCCTCAGATCACAGAGAATATGGTTGAGGACCACAGAGCACTCCGCGTGAGTTCGGAGAGTTTTAACTGTGAGGATGAGCCACAGAAACACAGGGAAAGCTTATGGAGGACGGGGAAAGGCGGCACACTGTCCACTCCCGCTCAGGTAGCAAAATTATGAGACGCGTGTAAAATAAATTAAACTATTTTATATTATATTTGTTGAAAATCAATGTATATGGGACCTAGTGATCCATGTGTCCAAGTCCAAATAAAATTATAAAATTATTATTTTGCTAATACATTTTACTACATTTGTATGCATGGATTATTCTTTTATCATACGCGACAGTAAAGACATTTATGTTGTTAATAATAATAATATTTTAATTTAATTTGCCGGTTTTTTTTATATTCTATTTACCAAAAATCCTGAAAAAATGCATCACACTTTCCACAAAAATATTAAGCAGCAAAAACTGTTTTCAGCATTGATAATAATAATAATCAGAAATGTTTCAAATCATCATATTAGAATGACTCCTGAAGGATCATGTGACACGGAAGACTTGGGTAATGATGCTGAAAATACAGCTTTGATCACAGGAATAAATTACATTTTAAAGTATATTAACATGGTTACCTTAAATTGTAAATATTTTTTACAATATTACAGTTTTTTACTGTATTTTTGATACAGTAATGACTGACTGCAAACTTTTAAACAGTAGTGTGAATTAAATCTACATTTAATTAATATATAACATATATTTAAATATATCTCTTTATAATTATTTATAGATATATATGTCTGTGTGTGTGTGTACAAACATTTATATCTCACAATTTGGTCCTGACCTCGTCTCTGGTCCTCCTGAGGGTGATTATTTTATCTCAAATGTCTGTGTTTTATTCCTGACCTGAAGGTTGTACTTTGTTATTAGACCCACGTTTGCTTTTATGACCCTAAACTGGAGCCCTGGGCCTCAGCATTACAGCGCTGGCAGATGAAGAAGGAGCTGGGAAGCATCGCCGGCAGTTACAAACACACAAGACACGTACGCTCACTAACCAGGTGATAACAGCCTCCAGGGCTCATGGAGAAGTGCATCAACAACTCATAGATCATGGAGAAAGGCTTCAGTACGTGATCTGCTTTCAATAAAATATATCCAGTAGCTGTGTTTGAAAATACTGGGAAATATCAATATCAAATTCATTAAAATGTATAGTAATTATTTTGTCATAACTTGAACATAAAAGTGCACTAGCAAATATACCTTATGTGTGGATATATAAAGACAGAGAGTTGTGACTAACAGAAAAATAGATAGTCCTACTGCTCATAAAATAAAAAACAGAGCCACAAATGACCTAATTGCTCACAAATGACTCATGTTAAACATGTCATTTCCCTGCAGCCCGTAACATTGTTATTCCATCACAATAATACAAGGTCAAACTCCTACACCTGCAGAGTGAAACCCCAGAAAGTGCAAGAATAACTACAAGTGTAAATGAAGTCTTGCTGTTAGAAAGGGGCAACCGGTTTTGTATATGTGTATATTTAGGTATTATATTTATATAATAGTTTTTATTGCTATATCACTTTTTGTAATGCCAATAAAGCCGCTTGAATCTGAAAAGACAAAACTGTAATAAAAGTGTTATTTATACACGTTTGTGTGTGTGTATATATATATATATATATATATCTCACGGGTGTCACTGTGAGGCAAGTATGCTGAGTTTCGGTTCATTCATGAGACGAGCTGCAGTTCAGGCGCCGGCGCCTCTGTGTTTTGACTATCGTCTGCTATATTTACTTATTATTTATTAATCTAGGTAATTTGTGGATGAAACATTAAAATTAAGAAACAATTAATTCAAAACGAAATTAACTTTAAATAAAGGCTTAGTGCTTTCTGTTTGAGATCTCCGTGGAAGTCTTTTAGTGGCGCTTTCAAGGAACTATCACGTCCGCAACATTGTTTTTTCCTCATAAATGCGAACATGAAAAATAAAATAAAATGAATATTTTATGTTCTGTGGAGAGCCAACCCTTCTTCATCCGGTGGGCCACCTAAAAGTTAAAGTTTTTTTTTTTTTTGTGTCACGTCCCTCATCTGTATTTCCCTCATATTAAATATACAATGTAGCCTATGTGTTATATTTTTCTAATGTCTGGACCATAGGGTCGGGACTCCTTTATTTATGATCTGTTGATCGTCTCCGCGTTTCCCCCTGTCGGCAGCGAGGAGTCACTGTCACTACAGATGGTTTTTTTTTTTTTTCCTCCTCTTTCCCGTCTCGTGCCCCGCAGCAGACGGAGAGCGCGCGCGTGTGCTCCTCCTCCTCCTTCGCGAGGCTCCAGCTCTAGCTCTAGCTCTGCCACGTAATCTCGGTCGAGCCCCCGCTCACTCACTCACTCGAAACCTCCGGGAACCGTGACAGCGACTGCGGAACACTCAAACACACTGTACGAAACACCTCCGGGCGGTGCGCGCGGGTGTAGCGGAATCACACACTGTGGCGGTAAGCGAAAAGTGCGTGGAAGTGTCCCCACGCGCGCGGCGCGAGTGCACGAGACGCAGTCCACATTTAGGTGCATTTTTAAAGCGCGAGCACAAGCAACATGTGTGTGAAGTGGGATCGGATACTTTTCGAGTCATTTGCATGCAACAGGTCGTTGATTTGTTGTCTGTAGCAACTCGTTTCATTGTAAACACTGACAAGCAACTTCGACGCAGAAGAGAAACTATGAGGCTCACGCTGTCAATGCAGTCGTTTTCTAGTATGTTCAATAGCAGCCTGGTCTGTGAGCAAGTCGGCCAACTTTCATGTGTATTGAGCAGTGATTCTGAGAACTTTTTGTTTTTGTATTCAGAAAAGTTCAACACAAGATGTCACAAACACCACCCGTAGTGCTGATTCATAATGTGACTTGCAACAGTATGGCGCATGTCGTGTTCAAGTTATGCTGTGTTGTGCTTGGTGGGTTTGGGATGTTGTGTATGTGTGTTATAAATTGAGTTATAGGGGTTTGTTCAGACAAAAAATCCGTCATTAATTACTCACCTTCACATCATTTGAAACCAGTAAGACTTAAGTTCATCTTCGGAACAAAAATAACGATCTTTTTGATGAAATCTGAGAGCATTCTGCCCTCCCATTGACAGTCTATGCAACTACCAGCTTTCCAAGGCTTGACAACGGTAAAGACGTCGTTAAAGTAATCCATCATAACTTTATGAATTGATGTAAATGCTTTTTGTTTTAGCAGCAAAACTTAAATTATCAATTTATTAGCAAAACAATTACCAAACGTGCATTCACAAGGGCACCACAACGCACGCATGTTGTTTTGATGCAAGAGCAGATGCGTGAATGTGTGTTGGAGATTAATATTTTGTAAATTATGTTTTGATGCGCAAATAAGCCTCAATTTTCATAAAATTGAGGCTAAACCAAGAGTCACATGGATTACTTATTTTTATACCTTTCTGGGGCTTGAAAGTGATGGTTGCATAGACTTTCAAATCTCTTAGATTTCATTAAAAATATCTTCATTTGTGTTCAGAAGGTTCTGGAACGACATTAGGGTGAATAATTGATGACAGATTATTTTATTTATTTATGTATTTATTTATTTATTTATTTTTTTGGGGGGGGTGTTTCTTCATGGACTGTTATATTACATAATTTTGACACTATTAATAAAGGCTTTACAGTCATGGACATTTTCTGAATAATTGAGTATACACTTTTTTCAAATTGGTTCTTTTCAAATTGGCGAATCAGTCATATTCAAAGTTATTTTAAAATCCTTATCCAATGAATCACAAATGAAACAGCTGTTTCAGTTCCAGAATCCGCCAATGGTTTTGTCAGTGGATTTGAACAATTCGTCATATCAGTTTGCATGTCATTTGCTCTTATATTTATATAGCATTTAAACATAGAAGTTTCAACATAAGTCACTGAAAAACTTGTCGACTGCTTGTAAAGTTCCACATCAGAGCTTCATGCCCCAGATGACCCTGATTCACCCGCAAAATACTATGAAAATCAGATTGTGTGTTGATTTTTGAAAGTGTTTATATAATTGAATATGTGGTTTTATTCAAGCATGTAGTTCATTATGACACACTTGTAATGTGTGCACAAATTCACACAATCTTAAGATTCAGGATACAACACCCAGTTCCTGTTTGCCTGGGTGGGAATTGTGGCTGTGGTTCTCTGTCTGTGTGTGTGTGTGTGTGTGTGTGTGTGTGCGTGTGCGCGCGCCACTGCATTCTCACATTCAGATTTCTTAGTCCTGCCCTTTGCTCAGTTTCCATGACTACTACTGGTGAAAAAAAAAACTTACTAAAGGTGTAAAGCCACAGATATGGAGCAATATCTAGGACCTGAGCAATGGTGTGCTTATTAATGTATTTTTATTTTGTGTTTTCAGCAGTGTATTAAGTGTGACATTAAACATTTTTCAAGTAAAAAAAAAAAAAAAATTGTAATGCATGCATAACTCATTTGACGTATTACAAAATGAAATTCTCACTGCAGAATCATTTAACAAAAACAACTTTAAAGATCTTAAAAATTCTCAAAATTGTATTATTTATTAATAATAATAATACTATTAATATTAATAATAATATACTAATATTATTATTTATTGATAGTATAGTAGTATTTTTATGTGCACATTTCACATTTCATTATAAGACATTTTTGCAATCTTTTATCAAAATATTACTAATTACTTATTAATAAACTTAATGTGCCTCAGTTTTTTACTGTCAACTCCCAATGAATGAAATCAACATGAACATTTACAAATATTAAAATGCATTGTTCAGTGTTAACTAATATTAACAAATGACCTTATTGTTGAGTTTACCCTAAAATCCTTTTTTTCATCTTTTAGCTATTTATAAATAAAAGCCATCAAATGCTTTAAAACTACATTGCTACAACTTTACGAAGGGTTATTCATGTATTTTACTAGAAAAAAATCATTTATTTAACAGTTGCATTGCTTTCGGTTCAGGTCTTTTGTATGTGCTTCGTTAAAAATAGACTTTACTCCCGATACCTTCATATGAATGAGCAACGATGAGCATAACATATGTCCATCACATACAGTAGGCAGATTGATATCTAAAAGTTTTTTTTTTTATTCTTCTTACTAACAGTTGAATATTAAGGGCGTTTTTAGACCTGTAAATCGATTGCTTTGTTCCCGAAACTGGGATTTAATTTGTTACAATGTGGCATTTTCTTCTTGGTTCGGATCGTTTTCACACAGCAACACTTGAAAGTGTTCCAGGAATGTGTTTATACAAGTGAGTAAAGCTGTCCTCTTATTGGTCAGATTTCACCTGTTTACGTTCCTCTGCGTCAAGATGGATAAACAAGTTCACTGTATTATTGTGGCTTTATTTGTAGCTGCTGCTACACACAAACACTTCTAATGCAGTAAGAGCGGGAATCAAGGCTTCGTTATGACTGCAATCTTGCAATGCATGGAGAAGAGCAATTAAACAACATTTTAAAGGTAGAGTAGGCAATTTATTTCACTAACACATTGTGTTATACTGGTTGAAACTCTCGTCACATCCTGATAGCAATCAATTATAGAAGTGGTCTAAATATTCAAATATGTACATATATCTTCTGTGGAAGTCTCAGGACCGAAAAATGTTCGTCCAATCATTACATTAATTGGATGTCCTTCCTGCCTGTCACCACGTCATCACCGCGTTCTGTAAGGCTAGTCACAGAGCGCCACAAACAGCCAGAAGCCGCCTTTTACAGTTCGTCCTGAACCAAAACCTTGAGCTTATGCTGCGGTCACACCATGTCGGAACCGTAATTTAGAGATGGCAACCCGTGGCGTTCTACCCAGAGCTATTCACGTCCTCGGACTCAGATTTAGCCTAAATTAATCTGCAGCAGTCATTTCACTCGGCGGCCATCTTTGAAACGCCTCTCGGGCATGCAAGTGCAGCTCTTTGAATGGGGAAACATCAATTTCTTTAAAACTGTTCACCAAGCTTACGATTAAATTTCAGATTCGAAACCACCAATGAAATCTGACTACAACTGTCTTATCAGTTTTTTTCTAAACGTTCGAATCATGATAGAAAATGTAATTCTTCAGGCTGGATTAAGCTAATGCACAGTGGAAGCGCGTCTGACTGTTTCTATGGGAACCGGAGCTTCTAAGTGATGCGATGACTTTACCAATCAGTGATTGGCTCTTATTTAGAAGGCGGGACTTATTCCGCCATATTGAGCATTGCACTTTTCCCCATTCAAAACAATATGAGTGACACATCTTGTGTTATTCTATAATCTTTGGTACAACTACAGCTCATTATTATTCTTATGACGCTTATCTGCTCTGATTTTGCTTCACTTGTGCGTTCATGTGTTTTAAAGGAGGCGTGGCTTAGGAGACGCTCTGAAGGGAGGGTGGGATCTCATGCTTTCAAAGCTAGCTTGCTATTGCTAGCCTCTTTCCTACCATTTGGTTTGGCTTTCAACTGCGATAACTAATGTGATAAATCAGACTGATCTCATGTAATGGCGTATGTATGATACTCCAATTCGTATTTCCATTTTTGGCGTGCTATCAACACGCATAATCGCTTTTCAGCGTGTTTATGAATGCCGTTGACTTAACGTTACGTTACTGTATATACAAATATCCTTCCCCAACCCCGTGCCTAAACCTACCGTCACTGGCGTCACGGCTGCCATAGTGCGCCAGAACGCTCACCACACACCAGCTTACTGGTGGAGAGGAGACAGTGATGAAGCCAATTGGTATATATGGCCATGATGGACAGAGGCCACTGGGCAAATTTGGCCAGGATGCCGGGGTTACACCCCTACTCTTTCGAAAGACATCCTGGGATTTTTAATGACCACAGAGAGTCAGGACCTCGGTTTAACGTCTCATCCGAAGGACGGTGCTCTTAGACAGTATAGTATCCCCATTAGGACCCACACAGACCACAGGGTGAGCACCCCCTGCTGGCCTCACTAACACCTCTGCAGCAGCAACCTGGCTTTCTCAGAAGGTCTCCCATCCAGGTACTAACCAGACTCAGCCCTGCTTAGCTTCAGTGGGCAACCAGTCTTGGGCTACAGGGTGATATGGCTGCTGGCAATTATGATACTGCTTGGTTCGTTGGTCCATTGGATCATGTTGATTTTTTGACCTCAACCGAACCGCCTCGTTCGGGCACTTTGGGCTATCATGGGAACGATTTTTTTTTTGGCGCGATTGCCGTGTTTACATATGCCTAAACTAACCAAAATAAAGGAGTTACAAAACAAACGCTCAATAAACAAGTCAACACCAACAATATAAAGAGCTAGCTAGATTAGTTGATCGATCGATAGGTATCGCCGTCAGTTCGTACTACCATTAACGCTTTCTCCGACAAGCGAGAAATGCAATTAGACCTGTTTTTCAGTTTGTTCATATGACGTTTGACAAGCCTATTGTACGTGTTTTCACAGGAGGGCATCTGTTTGGTTTTCATCTGGGATCGCCGGTAACCCGCTGTGTGGAAAGGCACTGAGCCATGCGGCAGTTAAAGGGCAAGCCGAAGAAGGAGTCGTGGAAAGACAAAAAGGAGCGCAAGCAGGCCATGCATGAGGCCAGGGAGCAGGTGACGACCATCGTTCTACCGACGCTCGTCGTGCTCGTGCTGCTCATCGTCCTCTTCGTCTACGTGGCGACCAGACCCGGAGCCATCGAGTAAAAAGACTCCAAATAGCCAAATCCCCCTGTCCTTGTCTTGTCTCTTTCGTTTTCACTTGTTCTTTCCCAATGCCATGAATTGGACACAATCATAAGGATGAATGGATTGATAAAGGAGAGGTTTTGATTGCCACGTTTGGAGTGTATTAATGGAGTCTTCCGCTTTGGCTTCCAGCAAGAGCGCCTCTCTCAGCCACCAGCGTCCGTGCCTGATGCCATGGCCATGTTGGGTCTAAATGCATTTACAGGGTTCCAGCTTCATGCCAAAGCACCTGAGACGCAGCAGACTCAGACTGACCCGGGAACAGGGTCAGACCTGATGCCTCTGTGCTCAGAGTTACAAGTCAGTACAAATGAGAAGTGACTGAAGAATGTCTGTAGCATGCACGCTTATGCACACACACAGATCCTGTGGACATGTCACAAATTAACTTTGATGGATGTCACATGAAACCAATGACAGAAATGAATGTTTACACTTCTAAATGCTCATTACCGAATGCCTCTTAACAGTCAGTTGCCGATGTGTTTTGGTTAAACCATGCGTGTGTGTGTGTGAGCAAACGCACCATTGAGTGCATGTTTTTATGACACATCTGTGATATACAATCCCAGCGGCAAACATACTCTTATTTTAAAATGTATTCCAGCAGGACTTGGATCTAAGAATGTGCCTTAAAACTTTTAATGATGTAACCGCAGTTAAAATATTAATAAAGAAGTTTAAAGCCACGCTGACTGCTTCAATGCTTTTAATAAGTCTCCGTGTTGTGATGTTTTACACTAAGTTTGAGAAGTTCCAAGTTCAAATTCTTCTCATTAGTTTTTTGCTCAAGAGCTTTACAGCCTGAGGCGCTGAAATATCTCCTTCTGAAGGGCTCAAACCCTACGCCCCCTTCAAAGGGGTGAACGGTGTATGGCAGGGGTGGCTAAACTCACTGTCCTGCAGTGTTTAGCCACCAATTGCCGCAACACAGCTGTTTGGAAGTTTCTTAGAAGTATGCTTAGTAAGACCTGAATCCGAATCAGGTCTGAAATCTAGTGAACTGTTAGTGGACTAACGTAGGTAATAGTGATTGAGGGTTTAGTGGGCGATTTTGGATTCAGCCCTTGTTCAGGTGAGTTTAATTGGGGTTGGAACTAAACTTTGCAGGACGGTGGCCCTCGAGGAACAGGATTGGACACTCTGGTGTAGGGCAGAGGTCTTCAAGCCTTCTACTCTCCCAATGGCTGTGTCCAAAATCTCCTACTACTCACTATATTGTGGACTATATAGTGAGTTCGCCATTTTGTAGTGCTGTCCGAATGTATAGTGATGATTATTATACCCTATATAGTCCACTCAATGTATCCCAGAATGCATTTTGAAAAGTAGTGTACAACCGATGGTCACTAACCCAAGCCCTACATACCATCATGCATTGCGCTGATCGTAAAAATGGCGAACGGGCGACAGCAATGACGTAATCAACGGCGTGGAGAGACGATAGAGTAGTGTCCGAAAGTGGTGTTTCTATTGAGCTCACTATATAGTGCTCTACTGGAGTAGTGGTTTGACTGGAGATTTTTGACACAGCCAATGTCCTGCAGAGTTGAGCTCCAACCCTAATCTAACTCACCTGAACCAGTTTATCAAGGTCTTCAGTATCAATTGACAAATCGCAGGCCAGTGGTTTGTTGCACAAAACGAGTTGAAGAAAAGTACGTTTCAGGTTGACAACACCAAACAAATCCAAACTGGGTTAATATGTTTTTTTAATGCTGGTTAACAACTTTCTCTCTCAACCCAGGTTTAAACCCTGAATCAATGATTAAGTGTTATTCGCGTGCACATAAAGGCAACACCTTTGCTACACACAGCCAATAGCATTCAACGTGGAAAAAAGCAGGTGCGTCTATTTCTCAGTAAAAAAACAAGAAATTATTATGAGCAAATATGACGAGTTTAAGTGTATTTTAAAGGGATACTTCACTCTTTTTTTTTTGGAAATAGGCTCATTTTACAACTCTTACTTTTACATATACTATGGAAGTCAATGAGACCAGAAACTGTCTGGTTACTGATATTCTTTTAAATATCAGAAAATTGGCTGAATGGATTCGAAAATGGTAAAACCCAACTGTTTAACTCTGGGGGAGTTGTAAAATGAGCCTATTTCCAAAAAAAAAAAAAAGTGGAGTATCCCTTTAACCACAAAAAGCAACACCCTTGCAGCAGCCAAAGCTCGGGAGAATTGCTGGCAGAAAATAACTGATGTTGTAAATGCGTACGTTTTTACACAGTCATTTTTATTGGGTCACAACGAGGATAAAACCGATTGAAAACTCATAACGTCAGCATATTACATATTGAATATGAAATAATAAAAATACACTGTTGCAGAGGACCAGTAACCAGGGTCGACCCATCATGGAATTGCATCTTCATATCCAGGTGCTGGCTCCACCAAACAGGCTACATTTATACAGGGTACGTATGTGTACATAAACAGTTGATCCTTTATAAAACTTAACTCTAAAATGCAAGCAATAATGACTTCATGTGTTTTCAGCTGGCGGAAGTTCATCTACCTTGTCGGAGCCAGCACACACACCTACAGAATCCCATACAGAGGTTAAGCATAGAACATAGCATGAGGACATGCTATTGCCTTATTGCATGGCTTTATTTGGTTAATAAGGGGAAGCTTGTGATGAGGAGACACTATCAGTTTGCTCAGACTAGAGACAGCTCCAGAGGTAAATGTGCTTTGTTGGAACATATTCTAATGAAGAAGAAAAGGTTTCTGATGTCTGTTGTGTTAGGATTTCTCATCACGCCTTTCAAGGCCAGAGAAAAAGAGCAGTGCAAAGTTTCAACTGTATACAATAAAATTATAACCAGTCTGTTACTACTTTAGGTGGAAACGGACACCACCAGAGCCCTCTAGAAAATAAATCTGGAGCTGGACTATAAGATGAAACTACTACGAAAAAAGAAGCTGAAACTACAGCTTGAGGAGAATACCGGAAGATATGTAAAGTCATAAAAATCAAAACCAGAGGCGGACAAAGTACACAGCTTTATTACTTGAAGCCAAGTTCACACTACAGGATTTTAAGCCCGATTTATGCACGATTTGCAAATCGTTGAGCTCGCCGACAGGTCAGGGTGTTATCACGTGCAAATCGCGGGGGATTAGCGGACGATGAACGCTTGCCAATCTGTTGAAAGAGCCAACAACGCAGCGAAAACGCTCGCAGGCGCCTCGCATACGCGTCGCCGAGCCCAGAAAAATAGAGTCGTCGCGCGACTCAATCTCAGTGATGTCATGAGTACAGCCAATCATAGCAACGCATGGGTTGAGGAAACCCATGCGTTGAAAAAATCTTAGTTTTTATATATATATATTTTTTTTTTTTGCATTTTTTTCTCAGAGCAGATCGTTGCGCAAACAGTGTGCAGCAACAGTGTTTCTGTCTGACGTCCATATTCACGTGTTGTGCACGTTCTGTTTCTCGTCATTTCTGGTTCGTTTTATTGCTGGTTTTTCGTGACAAAACGTGGTTTGTAGACAAGATAGAATCGTTGGGTGACAGAGTTGTCAACTCGTTATTTATTTGATTATTTTCAGGATTTAGACCGTACCATAGTACTGAAACAGCTCTCATTAGAGCCAAAAATGATTTGCTCTTATCATCCGATCGTGGTTGTATCTCTATGTGTTGTCAACTCGTGTAGTGAGTTACCTCCTGTTGTGGATCAATCACGTTGTGTTGTGTGGTGTGAACAGCTAAACAACTTGAACACTCCTGATTTCACTGAGAGCAAGTCATGTAGTGTGAACAGCACAGTTCAGCCCGACGTTTTAAAATCATGTAGTGTGAAGCTACCCAGATAGCAAACTGACATTGAATCAACGTGGAAATATGACATCGAAACAACGTTGATCTGACATTGTTTTGCTCATCAAATTAACGTTGAACCAACGTCAGATGCGTCATTCTTTCAAAACTAACGGAAAATCAACTTAAAATCAACGCGTTGTTTCAACGTTATGAAAGCAAACCAATTTTCGATTTTATTTAGCTTTGAAGAATGCCGCGTCTGACGTTGGTTCAACGTTAATTCGATGAGCAAATCAACGTTGTTTCAATGTCATGAGAGACGTCGTTTCCACGTTGATTCAATGTCAGTTTGCTGTCTGGGTATGGCTTGAGTAAAAGTACAGATACCCCTTGCTAAATTTTACTCAAGTACAAGTAAAAGTACTACAGTCAGATGTCTACTTGAGTAAAAGTACTCAAGTACTCGTTTTTAAAAGTACTTGAGTATCAAGAGTACAAGAGTACATTTTCTAAATATTGCATTATTACTGCCACAGTGCTTAGAAGTATGGACAGAAACGTCCTACATGGAGTTATGAAAAATGTTAATGTCAATACCTTGGAGAATGTAAAAGGAATTGAAAGTAAAATCAAGTCATTTTCATTGCTTTATTTAACATTTAATACATTTCGGAAAATTCCGAAAATTTGAAATAGTCGGGCCACGGGTCGGCACATTCCCGGGATGGACCTGCCGTGTCTTCATCCATTGTTTCGTCTCTTATCTAAATCTGACCATGGAGTTGACTTGAAATTGACAGAAAGCTGAAGGTGATTGCTAATAGGCTGACCCAATCAGTGGCGCCTGCACAATCCAATCACGTTTGAGAGGGAAACAACAAATTGAGGGTGTCCGAGATTTTTCTTCTTTTTTTTTTTTTTTTTTTTTAAGTAGTAACGAGTACTCACGGTCATGGATAGAAATGTAGTGGAG